ACGGACATATCACGTAGAATTAGAGAATAGCCGCTGGTGAACTAAAATATGAAGCAGATTAAGAGGGACACGTATTCAAGTGCTCCACACTTTTTTAAACATTCATAATTTACGCACACAAAACACGTTCGTGCTATAAAAACCGACTATTGAATTGCACATATCAACAACTGACATTCAACCAATGCATTACACTTGAGGTGAACTGTCGGCAGAGAACAGCTACCTAACCTACAGTAATGTGTCCAATTTCTGGTACAGCAAAGGAACGATTTGTGCTATTTAAATTTGTGTCTATTTCTTATACATGTGAATACGAGTGAGAGTTTATCTTAAGCCCAATATCCTAATAAACACCATCTGATCAACTGTGGACATATTCGTAGACTGTCAGCCTTGAGGCAATGATATCTGTTTGCTGTTGCACACCCGACTTTGTTTTGTATGGCCTATTAAATTAAAGATGTGTTTTAGCCGTGGACCAAGCATCTCAGCAGATAATACCTATACTGCTATTGTAGTATATTTAAGACGTGCATAACGGAAATTCACGAAGGCGCAGTGAAAATTACGCGTGCCAAATCAACCTTTTATCTTCACTTATATATGATTGCTGCAGCGCATCCACATTGAAGATATTCGTAATCGAGCAACAAGAAGATGTTAGGACTCCAGGGAATAGAAAACCTACAGCAATTGTCTGACCTAATTCTTCCCCAAATATCGTTGGCGTTTGCTAATTGGCGTTAATTGGGAAAATTTTCCAATTTTGCGAACCTAGCACAGTGAATTAGTATCTGATTCATGGAAAAAATATGCGCACTGCGGGTGTACAGCGGAACAAGCATTTTGGTAAAATGCACTAGTGTTCACATGGAAGATGTGTCAAATTATTTGGTTCGTTTCGGGATCATTTGCATCAGCGTGAAGGCACAAGTAGAAGCAACCTTGCCAATTTCTGACGGAAGCGGCACTGCATTCGGCTTAACACCACTAAAAATGCAGCAAATTTGCCGATCAACTTCAGGACAATTTGAGTATAAGCATGGGTCGCGCTCTGACCTGCATGCACAAATGTCATTCCAAGCATCGGAATGTCGCAGCTGTTGAGGTATAATGCCTAGCATTAGCGGTTCTGGCGGAATCGTGTTAATACATTAACGGCTGGCTTATATTTCTCTCATCTGTTAGAAAGAGTAGCGCAAATTTAAGTTACCATCGTTTGGATATTAGTGCAATTATTGCGCTCTTTCGGCGTTGCGATTTGGCCAATGTGTATTCCCTTACGTAATGATCCAGAACTGATTGCTGCAATGAAAATTTTCGCTAATGAAATAAGTTAATTTGGACATATCTTCTGCAATCTGGACAGTGCATTATCTGTTTACTGCCTCAACCAAAATTAAGAATCATCGTGTTTCACCTGAATTGATATTTACTGGTCCGATGGCTTAACGGCCATGCAAATCGTAAGATGGCTTGCATAGGTAAAATAATTCGACGTCGAAACTTCCAAAAATATTTATGAACACGAGAAATAACCACGGTCTATAAATTATACATTCCGGTACAATGTAATTAAAATTTATCGGGTGGGACACGGTATACGCACCTGCTATTTCAGAAAATGTTGCATTATGAATGAAAGTATCCAGCCTATTTATTCCTCATCTGCGTTAGCTCTGAAGCATTGAATGTACGATCCCGTGACCAAGGTGTACAAATGCCTTGAAGAACTCAAACTTAGCGTCGTCGACACTTTCTCCAGCGTAGACAGTTTGCGTCCAGCTACCGGGGCTAATAAATACCCTTGGTACCTGAGCAGCTATAACGCAACCCATGTAACTGTTGCACGATGATAAAACACCATTATACATATCTCATAATTCAGCTGCAACAATGGACCACATGAACTTAGCAAGTGCAGGAAGATGAGTAATCTAGTGGTGGCTGCCGGGCACTGCACGAATGCCTTCCTGGTAAATGGGGTGAATATTTCATATTTCCAAGTAGTTGGGATCTGTATCGCGCCGACCGGGCGCTGGATCAGCTGAGAAAATGGTTCTTCAACGCTGCTGCTAGGTGCCATTAATGACTTCACGCATGCTATCCACACCACGTGGACTGTACTCTGGTATTGGCATCAGTCCTTTCAACACATCCGCCCCTGTGTAGGAGATGTGGTTAAGCTCTGGCGGTGATATGATCTGTGGTAGAGTCCTAGAAAACGACGACACTCATTGGAAAGCACAA